TCCCGCCAGGACCCCCGAATCCCCTGCCACCCCCACCCACTGCCCCCCCAGGCGTGCCCTCTGGCCACGGACCGGCGGGCAGCCACGCAACTCAAGGCAGGCTCCGCACGGGGCGATAAGCCACTAGGCCTCCCTCACTGGGCTCGCCCCAATTTTACGAAAGCCGGACCGTGGGGGGCAAAGGGGAGCCCAAGGGGGCCTGGCCTTCCCCAAGATGTGGGGGGGGGGAAGCCGGCCAGGCCCCGGGGAGAAAATGCAAGGGGGAAAATGCAGAAATGTTTTAAAAGGAGGCTCTCTGGGCACCTGTTATTTTTCTCCCACCCCCAGGGAGATGGGGTTGCGAGTTGTGGGGTTGTGGGTGTGCGGGTGTCCCAGCCTGGCTGGCCTCCCCGGGGCAGACCGAAAGGTCCAGCGTCTCTAACCATTAATAAAAAATGCTTCTCTACCTGATCTTCCGGAAGAAAGAATCACAAATGGTTAGAGTCGTCAGATAGTGCTCGAGTAACATAGATCTAAATGCGGACAAAAATACGGAAGGCAGAAAATAGTAGAATAGCCGAGTTCGAATTTTGGTATTGCAATATGAATAGATGTTAGTATATTTTAGTTTCTCCGGTTGTGGGTGTGCGGGTGTCCCAGCCTGGCTGGCCTCCCCGGGGCAGACCGAAAGGTCCAGCGTCTCTAACCATTAGGATTCAGTGCCCTTAAAAATGTGCAGGGGGGAAAAAAATCACAAATGGTTAGAGACGTCACATAGTGCTCGAGTAACATGGATCTAAATGCAGACTAAAATATGGAAGGCAGAAAATACTGTAGTAGAATAGCCGAGTCCAAATCTTGGTATTGCAATATGAATAGAATAGATGTTAGTATATTTTAGTTTCTCCTCCCCAACCCCCCCAACCCAAATCCTCTTTCCTTCCCCTTTTGCCTTCTGCGTCCCATACCCCAACCCAAGTTATCCAAATAATAAAAAATACTAATTAAAAAATGTGCAGGAAGAGGGAAAGGTGGTTTGCCCATCAAGATCTTGTGGGATCAGGAAATCCCACCAGATCTTGATGTTATCATTTTCTGACACCTTCTCTACCTGATCTTCCACGAGTTTTTGGATATAACTGGCAAGTTATATATTTTTTTTTTTGCAAAACGACCAGTGCACTAATTTTGTCACTCCTTATCATGTTGTGGTTGTTGTGAGCCGTTGTACTGCTCAGGGAGGAAGCACTCTGCCCATGTTCAGAGGGATTCAGATTGAATTGTTAACGTCGAAAAGAAGGAGGGTGTCAAAGAGGATAAATCCAGCCATAATAAAACTGGTCTTGTGTTCCCAGTGCTCTGGCAAGGGGAAAAAGAGTGTGTGTGTGTTCATATTTATTTAATTCAGGGAACTGTCACTTCGAAAACAAATGGGGAAGCGCTCCAGATTTTTCCAGGAAGCAAAAACCCATATGCTTTTCCCATGTTGGGAATTCAGGGTTTCCAAAGCAGGACGGTTTAAAGACTGGAAGCTTTGCTCTGTCTGTTTACTCGGAGAGAGAAGGATGTCTCACCTTTCCGAAGGATACCATATTTAGGACAGTTGCTCTGAATGAATGGCTTCTTTATGTTCTGACCATCAGACACTCGAAGAGAGGAGAGAAATGTACAAGCCAGAAAAACCGGTTCACAATGGCCGTATTGATTTCCTGGGACGGGTTCAAAACCTGCTTGCGTCAGGCGGCGCAGGGACCGACAAAAGCGGCTTTTAAGTGGCTCCCCCACGGCTGTCTTTGCCTTGTTAACTTTCTCGCTAAAATTGGCACCGATCCTGCGGCAGATCAACAGTCAAAGCGAGACCAGGCGTGGTCACTGCATAAATACAAGAGGAGCCCATGATGTTTTAGCGCATAGCTTTTGCCACCAGGTAGAGGCTCTGTCTTTGTCAAACCTGTTTTTGGACAATGAGCAGTTCTAATCGTGCTCACAGTATCTCTGGCCATGTGCAGAATGCCACACGATCTGCCTGGACATTTTGCTCCTATGCCTCTGGCCTTAACAGAGAGAGGATCTTCTACGGTCTGCCAATGCTTCGTTTAAAGAAAAACTTTACAAAATTCTGCTTCAAAGCCTCTTTGGTGAATCTCACTTTTCATGTTCCAAGAACTTTTTCATCTGTTGTCTATAGTTTAACTCTTTTTTTTACAGTTCTGCTCTCTCCTTCATATGCATAGACTGCATTTTTAAAAAAATGTTACTTCTTAACTTTGCTTTACAACTTGCTTTATTTGTAGGTTTCGTTATAGAGCAGCTTCTTATTAGACAAGTAAACAAATATCAAAGCGACGCATAATTCACAAGCAAATTAACTTTTTTTTTTAAAAAAGCACACAATTAAAAACAAACCAAGGCATCCAGAACTGAAATGGTTAGGACTCCACACATAAATTAATTATGCGTCCATAAATGCAAAAACTTAGCGGAACGGTTTTGATTATCAGATGAAAGCACACATCACATGTTGCTGGACTGACGGACATTCAGAAACTCCAGGAAGGGCCGGGTTTATCATTTTCACTTTCTCCATCCTGCACACAATGTGTAATGAAATTAAGAGGAGCAAAGCAATGAAATTAAGAAACACACATTGAAGTAAAAGATCTGTTCCCAGCCGTCTGGTGCAGGATTTGGCCCCCAGAAGTCTGCAAAACGGATTTTATTGTCTGGCGTTATGACCATATGAAAGGCATTTTAGGGTCCACTGTTGAGCTGTACATGAAAGTAACACTTCCCAGAGTTTGTCAAAATTAGCATTTTTCTTTAACTATAGTTATGCCTGCGTGGCTATGCCCACCAGTCTCTACTACGCCTGCCCCCCCAGACTTACCTGTTCTGTTTATTTCCCCCTCTGATTTTATTAATGCAAATGCAAGATTAGGTGATATCTTTACAGACCACTAAAAAAATAATCACCATACAATCTGCAAGCTTCTCTTCTCATGAGATGGCCAAAGTCTTGGAGCCTCAGCTTCAGGATCTGTCCTTCCAGTGAGCACCCGGGGTTGATTTCCTTCAAAATGGAATAGGTTTGTTCTCCTTGCAGTCCAGGGGACTCTCAAGAGTCTCCTCCAGCACCACAATTCAAAAGCATCAATTCTTCGGCGGTCGGCCTTCTTTATGGTCCAGCTCTCACTTCCATACATCGCTACAGGAAAAACCATAGCTTTGACTATGCGGATTTTTGTTGGCAAGGTGATATCTCTGCTTTTTAGGATACTGTCTAGGTTTGTCTTCGCTTTCCTTCCAAGAAGCAGGCATCTTTTAATTTCGTGGCTGCTCTCCCCATCTGCAGTGATCATGGAGCCCAAGAAAGCAAAATCTGTCACTGCCTCCACATTTTCCCCTTCTATTTGCTAGGAGGGGATGGGACCAGTGGCCATGATCTTAGTTTTTTTGATGTTGAGCTTCAGACTGTTTTTGGCGCTCTCCTCTTTCACCCTCGCCTGTAACCGTGGGCCAACGAGGAACAGCAGTTTTGCCTTGGCCAACGAGCCAAACCCGGAGCTGAGTTAGCCCTGAAATGTGGCGGTGGTCCCACAGCACATGCAATGGCCGCAGCAGTTGTTCTGGGAGAAGCAGGGATGAGGCAACGGCTCCGGGCAGGTCCCCACCTGGGGCTGCTGGGTGACGGGCTTCTCCTTGGCGGACGCTTTCGAAGCCGACTCGGCCTCCGTTCTGCCCACCGCCCGAAGGGGCTCCTTCTCGTTTTTGACTGCCAAGAAGGCGGCCAGATCCAAGTCGAGCATGGTCACCCCTCCGCGTGGCGTCGGGGTGCTTTGACGGCACTGCGGGCAAGGGATCCACCACTGTTCGTTGGCCACCGTGTTGAGGCGCCTAAGGCAGGCCTGGCAGAAGGTGTGCCCGCAGTAGAGGCGGCGGGGCAGGTGGGCGGAGAGGTCGTACGAACAGTAGCAGACGATGCAGTCGCTTTTGGGGCGTCTGCGGCTGGGGAGCAGGGACTGGACCTCCGGACTCTGCTCGGCTGCCTGGCCACCGTCGGCCCCGGACGCGTGGGACATCCTGTTGTGGACAGAGAGACGCTGATGAGTGCCAGGCCACAGACCACCTCACCCCCCAACGGTAGGGCACCCTCTCTCTAGCTGTGCCACCTTACTCCTTTCTCCTCTCATTTCAAGGCTGGCGACTGCCTAAAATCCTTGCAGCGCCAAAGGGAGTGTGTAGGAGGCCCCCATCCGCAGGCCACGTTGGGGAAGGCGGACATAAACCTGGGGTTTTCAGACCACGGTACGTGGACGTGACCAGTGGGATGCAGAATGAGACTCATTGCGGCGCACAGCTTTTATAAACCCTTGTTAAGCTTCTCACACTCTCCATCCCAGAGTTCTGCAAACAGACAAGTGGAATTACTCTTCTTTCTAACATGAGAAATATTCGTATTTTTTGCTTGCTTGGCTATAGTTTTTATGCCCTTAAGATGTACAGGTGAATGACAAAGATAAAAAGGATGTACGTAACCAGTGGTGGGATTCAAATAAATTAACGACAAAGATAAAAAGGATGTACGTAACCCTATAAATGTCTTTATTTTGGGGGCGGGGAGAATGACGGCGGGACCCAGCTTCTGGAACAGGAGGCTGATTTGGCAAAAAGCCGACCCCACTTGCTCTAACGGGAGATGAAATGCCACTGCTCCGTGAGCGGGACAGAGGCCATCTTTGAGGGCTTTGAGGCCACTCCACTCCCCATGCGAAGCCATGCATTACTAGGGTGGAGTAGATCTTTTCCATCCATGCATTCTGAAGCGGATGCCGGACTAGATTACAAACCCAAAGGGCACCCACCTACCAAGAGATCTGCTTTTCCGTTCCTAGCCTGATCTGGAGATTCCACCAAGACCTGGACCCACCAAGCCCCCCCCATGTCATGAGGATGTTGGCAGCTGTCTTGGGCCATGTGAGGTAGCCTTAACCAACACGATCCATCCTCCCCAGTAGCAAAGACTCTCTCTCCAATTTGGAGCTGGGTCTTTCCGCCGGATCCGTAAGCTACGGGCAATTCCGTATACTCTGCTGGCCGGGCCTCGGAGCGGAAGCGTTTAGCAACTTGGTGATCGCCGATCCGATCCTCCTGGGACTGGCCAGGGAATGGGCCGGCCAGTCCAGCCACTGAGCTTCGAAGGCATCCTTCAGGTGAAGAAATAAAATCTTATTGCATCAGCTGCCGAAGACCTTGGGGCAGGACAGCCTTTCGGCCTTTCTGAACGGCCAGATGTGTCTCTTCTGGCAAGGTGGGCTTCGAAGGGACCCCTTTCTCTGGTGGCTTTCCTCTAATGATGTTATTAGTCGCAGGTTACCTTACCTGAGTTGCCGAGAGCAAAGGAGAGGAGGGGGGCTAAAGGCTGGGCCCATCACCGAGGTGGGGTAAGAAGACCCCGGTCAGGCACCCACTTCCCACAGCCCCCTCCCCGACAGCCCTCTTGCCTTAGCAACCTACACACACATGCTTCAAAGGCCAGAACATACCTTGCTTGCCGACGTACGGGATGCAGGATGAGGCTGTTCTCGGGACAAAGGGGCGCACACGAGCACACGGCCCCTCAGTGCTTGCGGGGTGGGTGGGTGGGTTCCTTCTCAGCAGCCCCCCCGTGCTGCGCCAGGGCGCATCTCCCGAGAGCCTGCTGTGCCCTTCTTGGGCTAATTGCAGGCAGTTCGCATTTCAGAGACAGTTGTGTTATTGTATCTGCCGCGCAAGGAAGCCAACCTTGCCAGATAGGGTTACTGTTGCCCTGGAGGACAATGGCTTCCCACCACCGGGCTCTGCCTCCCTGGACGGCCAGGGCGCCCGGATCCGTCTCGCCGGCCAGCTCCTCGGATCGCATTAGCAAAATGAGCCGTGCGCGGAGTGGTCCCGTCTCTGCTTCTCGACGCTGCTCCGTCCAGGTCTGACCTAAAGATCAGGAGGAGGAGGGGAGCCAGGGATCTGGACGTGGCCCATCGTCCACCATAAGCAGTGACCGGGCAGCAGCGCTGGGCAGCATCTGCACAGGCCACCTGGGCCGTAAGATGCACCATGTTTCTGTGAAAATCACAATCATACTATCTGAGTTTGCATTTCTGCATACAAATACACATTGTGCATTGTTCTGCAGATCAGTTGTCCTTCATCTTTCCATCCATCCCTCACCTGCATTATCCTGGAAGTGAAATGCTTTGGGAGACAGGAGCTGCAGCTCATCCTCCGAGCAGCGGCCAGGGGGTTTAGGGGGGCCCCGAAGCCTTCCAACCACGTTAAACCAGTTCAGCACCTCCCGGATTGATCCTCTTCCCATTGCTTGGGAAACCGTTGTGTTCTTTCCAGATGCCACTAAGAACGCTCCGATTGGCAAGGATGGCACCGTCCTTTGGAAGACTGTTCTTCCCGAAAGTGCACATGGTACTTTTTTAAACAAACAAACATACATTTAGCTTGTTATTGCTTTATTGGTCTCCAAGACAAGAGAGGTGGAGTAAATGGGATCTCAACTGCACAGAGTTAAACCGGGCACAGCTGTTCACCTCTGCTATCGCCCGTTTGCTGGGCACGACTTCTATTTCTGTCTGCGAGGAAGCCAATAAAGGAAGCCATTGAACGAAGCAGAGGAATGCAGGGAGAGCAGAAGAGGGCGAAGGAGAATATTGCTGCCCGCACCCCCTTGGCGGCTGTCAACACTGATCCTGCAGTGACACTCACAGGCCGGGCGGACAGGAGGAGAAGTGCAGACAGGAGGAGGAGCTCCAGATTGCAAGCAGATCAGGGCCCCCCCCCAATTTCCTGGAAGGAGCCCCCGAAGAGTATGCAGCTCCACCAGTCTGACCACATTCCTTGCCCCCTGTCATGATCAGCGCAAACACCACCACCACGGAGGCCACTGGGCTGGAGAGGAATGCAAAAAGGGGAGCCGGCCAAACGGGATGCCAGCCAGGGCTGGGGAGGGTTGTTCAGAGAAACCAGGCTGATGATCTCAAGCAAGAGAGAGGGACAGAGATACATGAGGGGGGGTCCCCTGGGGAAAGGGAAGAGGTGTGCACCCGTAAACTGGAAAAACCATGCCCTCTAGCAAGATGGGGAGAAGATCGGGGTCTGGGTCGGGGAGGGGGGGTCTTATTGTATGCTAAGCAACACATTACAGTGGTGCCTCGCTAGACGATGATAATCCGTGCCACTGAAATCGCTGTCTAGCGAAATCATTGTCTAGCGAAAAGTAAATAGTCGTCTAGCAAAAATCGGTTCACGAAGCAGGAACCAAACATTGTCCAGCGAAATTCCCCGCTAGGAATCACTGTTTGTCAATGTCTAGCGAAAAAACGGTGATGCGGGGTAACTGTCTAGCGAGGCACCACTGTAAACCATTCAGAATGGAACTGGATTTCCCCCCACCTCTGTCTTTCAGTTCTACTGCCCAAGTAAGATGTAAGAAGCCTCAGTCCTCCACGAAGCAGGAATCAAACATTGTCCAGCGAAATTCCCCGATAGGAATCACTGTTTGTCAATGTCTAGCGAAAAAACGGTGATGCGGGGTAACTGTCTAGCGAGGCACCACTGTAAACCATTCAGAATGGAACTGGATTTCCCCCCACCTCTGTCTTTCAGTTCTACTGCCCAAGTAAGATGTAAGAAGCCTCAGTCCTCTTGCTCTTGAGGAATTAGATTTTTTTTTTCTCCACCAGCACCGCTGGAAGCTCTCCAGGTGCTGACGCCACGCTAGCCTGACCTTCAGGCAAAACCCAAGCCTTGGCAAGAAGAGGTCCCTGCACAGGGAAAGTCACCCGGTCCTGCCACCCGCCGCTGGGGGCGGAAAGCACTGTGTTTATTTGTACCATGCAAAGGGCCCTCTGGGCGTTGCCCCACCCAGGATGCCAGGAGGCAGCCCGGGGAAAGGGCAGCAATGGGGCAGGGCAGCGATCAAGGGATTGGAGGAAGGAAGGAAGGAAGGAAGGA